AAAAAAAAAACTTGGACGAAATCAAAACAGTGCTGCAACAGAAAGGAAGTTCCGTGAGAAAGAAGGGGCCCAATTCACACGTCGCTGCCACTGCAGAATTTGCTCAAGTAATGACTGATATGAAGGCACCCGATTGATCAGTCTCAAGTTTATTGACGGCTTCACTTAAAAATGCGAAAAAAGAAGACCGTGAGAATGGTGAATCGGTTAATTGCTAAATACGGTTCTGCATGGACCAAATATTCCAAAAGAGTTCTATTTTTTAGGAATTGGCTCGAAAAAGATGGCTTTTCAAAAGTATTCTTCGTATGCGTGGAAAGACAAATTTCTATTTTTTAACTTGAAGGAAAAACGGCATTCCAGCTTCGAATCCCAAGGGCGTCGGAATTCTCCTTCATCAGCTGACGTCGTTGGATGTCGATAATTCATCTGTGGATGTTCTTCAAGGTATCTGAAGTCTTTCCTTACGTCGAGGACCTATCGGTAAAATACAGTACTTACCTTAATCATCCTAGCTATATATGCATCACTTTCCGATTTTCCATTAATAAGAAAGCATTAAAAATAGCGAGGAAAAAGTCTAAAAACTCACATCGACAAAAAAAGACGTGATGAATTCCAGACATTCCTGAGAATATCGGAGTAACGCTTTTTTTATATATGCGCAGTACTAGACTCCACATGATTTTTCAAATTTTTAAAACCTGTTCGTGTGACTGAGCATGTTATCTTTTATTATTTTTTTAAACATCATGTTGGCCCTGAGACTCTTGACTACGACAAGAGAGTCCATTTTTAGACTTCATTTAGGTCTCAAGGAAATAATTTGCTTTGAAAATTAACTAAGCTTTCTTTTATTGAGTAGAAATAGGAGCTCAGTTTTTCAAATCCGCAAATAAAAACAGCTTGGAGAAACGTTCTACTGTGACTTCGAAATGCTTAAGGTATATTGACGGAAAATAACACGAACATGGATTGTATGAAGCTGCCCTATATGGTGTCAAACAATATTTTTTCCTTCAAATGTCATGCTGACACGATTGAAATCTTGAGCTAGAAAATTCGCAGGATCCAAATTTCGAAGTAGTCAGTGTTTTTGCGTTTGAGCAAAAAATCCCGATTTTAAAAATAGATTCCTGCAAACGTCATTTATTTCCGTGACGCACAGTAATCCTTCCCAAAATCTTCAAAAGTTCCAGTGAACGTTCGCATTGTGCTTCTCACATTGTGTAGAAGAGTAGGAAGACGTGAAAGAGAAAATCTTTAAAACTTCCGAATGTTTAAAAAGGATGAAAAAGTTCCAATTTAAGTACAAAAATTGAAAACTGATTTCGGAGATTAAAATTTTAATTTTAATAAAAACATCAAAATTTAAAGAAATTCAATCGCTTGATTGGATTTCTACACTTTTATGACGCAATTTGAGCCGTTTTCAGCACCGATTCACATTCAACCGTCTGCAAGTATCGAAATCCTTTAAATTTGCGCTCAATAATCAACAAATGAATTTGTTCATTTCTAAATCTAAGAACTAAAAATTTTTCGATGTGCTTTCGAAATAAATCGAAAATGTGTTTTCATGTACTTTAATGCATTTAAATTTTCGAAATTTCTCGTGGAGAAATTGCAAATGTGATGAATTAAAAAGTAAGTTTTTACGAGTCGCGCAGAAAATGCTATCCTAATTTTCTAGGCTGCTTAGCGACATCTTCACACAATTGGTAAAAGCGTTCCATAAATTTGGCGTGTTCTTCCTTCTGGTGACATCAGTACTGAACTCTTGTGAAACGTATGGGGACTCGAATTCTCGAATCTAAAGAGTATATTCAATGTTTTTTGCTGTGTCCTGTGTTCAGGGTGTAAAAGTATTTCGACCCTTGCGAATATTTATTAACTTTATTATGGAACTAACAGATACCCAATAGTCGTCGAAATTTATTCCCTCGGGATTTACTGTGCGAACATGTATTTTTTTTTTAGCTATCGAGCTCTTTTCTTAGTTCGATGATTAAAACCCGTTTTTTCCTTATTTCTACGTTTATTTTCAAGGAGAAAAAATAAGACTGCAAAATATTATCTGGTCACGTTTGACAAGTAATTCGATCTATAATCAACAAAATTCAATATGATCGAAGATCAAGGGCTTCGGATAAGGCGTTCAAGGATGCCTCGCCGGGTTGTTTCGAGACTCAGAAGAAGAATAATATTGACCATCGTCACAGTTGGAATCTTTCTCACGATGATCGCCCTGGAAACCCATTTTTGGGAAGAGTCTCACATTTGGGGGAAAATTGCCTGGTCCACGCGCTGTTTCATTCCGTTCATGCGAGAACCCTTGGCCGAACTGCTTGTGGCTCCAAACGTGACCATGCCTGATGGCTCCGTGCGGAAGTGCACGAAACTTGCGGAAGTTTTTGTTCCTGGATTCCGGATCCCGACGAAAAATGCTTGCGATGAAGGCGTGAGGCTGCTGGTGACAGTCATTTCACACCCGAAAAACCTAACGTCGAGAAACGCCATCCGTGCTACGTGGGGCAATATGCTGAAGGAGACCGGCTACGCTCAGGTGAGGGACGATTCCCAATTCCTTCTGGTGATATTCCTTGTATGATGACTAATGCAGTGAAAATAAATGTCTCTTCAAGAAACAAAAGAACAGAGAGCATTAATTCTTATTAGAATTTCTTCGAGTACTGTATAAATGATTCCCAATTCCTTCTGGTGATATTCCTTGTATGATGACTAATGCAGTGAAAATAAATGTCTCTTCAAGAAACAAAAGAACAGAGAGCATTAATTCTTATTAGAATTTCTTCGAGTACTGTATAAAGCACAACTAATGTTTTATTGGGGGATCGACATTGTAAGAATTTTCTAATGAAGTGACGCGCGCATATCACCGTATTTAAATTCGATTTCTCCAGAATCAGAGAATTTTAAGTCTATAATCATGCTAAGTCTGTCATCATAAGTCTATCATCATGCTTTCTATTATAGAACTACAGTTTTGGAGACAAAATTCAGAATTTTAATCTTTCGTGACGGCTCAGGAAACAGAAACGAAAAAGAAAAATGACGTCCATCAATTTGTGGACTCGTAATGCTTTATAACGCAGATTATGTCAGTTAAAAGCAACGATGCCTTTTCCCTGTAAATCTTAGCCACCATCGGAGATACTCTATTTTTTTCGAGCGAACTCAGAATCTTGAGTTCCTATAATCGTGATTCCTCTAAAAATAACCCGAAGCTCTATTTATTGATGCCACACAACTGATCCATATACGAATATATACGAGGGGTCACACAGTTCCGCGCGGATCAGCTTGTTATTGCTGCTGTTCTGGAGGAGCTTAAAGACTCAACAACTGAACATTTAAATAAGGCCTGTTTCAAAACACATGGATCAGAAGGACTGAGAAATGTGTACAAATTGGTGGTGATTACCTTGAGAAGGTGTCTGCCTAGCCTTTTAAAACTAGTGAACATGAGAAAAGTGTTCTAAAAATCCCCGGGTTTCAGATAATTTTAAGTCCGCGCGGAAACGTGTAACCCTTTGTATGTGTGTGGTGTGGTAATACCTGTTACGACATACTGTACAATGAATGTTCATTTAACGATGCATTTCCAATGCCTTCAGGTTTTGTTCTTTTTTGGACGAGTTCGAGATAGATCGACACAGAAGCGAATAAATGCTGAAAGTCAAGTTTACCGGGACATTGTTCAAACAAATAATCCGGAAGACTGGAAAACTCTGGTACTGAAGGAATATGCTGCCTTGATCTGGATCAAGACGCATTGTCGCAATGTCAAAGCTATTCTCAAAACTGACGACGACGTTTACGTAAATCCGAAGAATCTCATTCAGTACTTCGAAACTGTTAAATTGAAAGAAAACGTTATTACTGGCGTTAAAAACCCAGGCCTATGTAACGACTGGAATCAGCGCGATTTCAAAAATCTGATCCTGGATTCCTCGCTTCCGGACAATGCGTATCCTTTGAAACATTATCCACCCCACCTGGCTATGAATTACTTTTACACCTTCGAAACTTTAGGTCCATTGATCGATGCTGGAAAAAGGATCAATTTTTGGGCTATGAACGGTGACCTGTTTATTTCGGGTTTGCTGACTGCACTCGCCAACGTGACCGTCGTGAATGATGCGAGGTTTGCCGTGCTTTTCGGGGACACTGCTCTGAATCTGATCCCATCATCGAGAACGTGGAAGTTTTTCTTTAGCCAAGCAATCGTGGTTGCACACAACCCAATTCACAAGCCTCATGAAAGACATCATTTGTACCCTGAAGCCCTTTTTCAGATTCACAAGATTCTTTTCGGAAGTTCACTTCAATAAGGGCTTCATGTCATGAGGGGCACTAGTTAGTCAGATATACTGTATTGTATGGAACTAACAAATGATTCTGCTGACGTTTTGAGTCCGGAAATGGTTTTATTTTTCGCCTGGATTTTAATTCTTCCTATATCTTGAGTATTGATTTTGATGGTCGTATTAATCCTTTTACTATAGCAATTCATGATAGTAACTATATAGAAATTTTTCTCGGAGAAGCAACATTTAGCAGCCTTTTTTCATCTGGTTTATGAAGTTTGTGTATTGTTTTCAAGACATGTGGGATGATAAATTGTGCCCGCGTTGAAATCAAACTATTGTATTATTGTGCTACTGTATTCATTGAAAAATTAACCTCGATTCCATGGAGGAAAAACCTGCCCAATTTCACTCAAATTCCAATCCAGAATACTGCAGAAGACTGTCTGTTTTCCATTAAAAATATATTCAGTATATTTTTATTGTTTCGCATAGTTTTTGGATTTTTGCAGACTTCGCACAGGCCCGAAGAAAAAAACGTAGAACGTAGAAAATGCAGTATAAAAACGATTATATACATTACCGAAGAAAAAACTTAGAATGAAGTGAGCGTTATTGGAATCATTGTTGAAAATTTAGATTTTATTGTGATTTGGAAAAAAATTAACATGATCGCGGATGAAGACTGGATACATTACGTATGAATCAAGGAGCTTTTTCAAATATCATTGACTTAACAATACCGAAAAAACGGAAGCCAGTATTCATATACAGTATTCAATGATTCCATTTGCTCGAATAATTTTCTCTTTCGCTGAAGTGTTGGTCTAATCCAGTCATTCGACACAGTCCTAAATACGCCTTCCTCGTGTAGAAAATATCCGGTTTTTCCAGTTTATAGATGCTTGCTTACAAGATTCTGATGATCCGGGAAAAGTCAAGTGTTTATAATGGCCATTAAAATACCAGAGACAAGTTCATTATCTTCAAACAGCGATGTCTTCTGTTTTGAACTAAAATAAAATATTCCAAGAAATTCCATTTTTTGGCGAGTGGGGTGCCTGGAACTTGGAAATTAACGCTGTATTCTGACTGTATTATAAATTATATCCTCGGATAATCCTAAAATTACCATACTGACAAAGCATTGAACAAATAAATGTCTTCGCCCGGCTGCTTGAATATTACGCAAATACTCGCAGAACTCGGTCATATTTCTTTTACGAAGTCGTTGAGCATTTTGTGAAATCCTAGTGGATCATTTTCAGTCGTTCTTTTCAAGTGCCCGTGCTGGTTTAAAAAAAGCGTAAACTGCGCTTAAAACTCCAAAAAAACGTCCTCAATGTAATGAATTTAACTCGAAACCGTACTTGGAATTTAATTGCTCATTTCTTTGAGGATTCATCAATTTTTAAAAAATGGTCACCTTTTCGTGGTCCACATCCCTCTCAATTTACGGGAGTATTGTAACTGAAAGAGATTTCTCAAACTACAAAACAATTTGAAATGAAGCTTTTATTTTAAATTTATTGTCAGTAAAAATGCATCGTAGAAATGTTCGTGACAATAACGGCATTGAGGAAGGCCATCAATTCGAATCGGAGCGTCGTAATGTTGATTGTCGGAGTATGGACCTGGCGCCAGACGAAAGATGCTGAATTGCTGATACAGGAGTTGATAGTTGTTAAACAATATCGTCTTACTCGAAATAAGCAATTAAATTACTGTAATCTTCACACATTTGTTTCAGATATTTCACAATCATCGTTTGCCACAAAATATTTGGCCAAGAAAGTACTGTATTTAGGACCGATCAATTTGGTTAGCATTTTTCCTCTCAAGTAATTGACATAGAAAAGCTTTTTGTTTTAATTGGTGTAGAGAGTGTATAGAAGACATTAATGAAAAATTTGGAAGATAACAAAATGTTATTAAAATCAATACTGTAGTCTTCTCTCAACTTTTTTCATTCTTTTCTCAAGCTTTTAAGTTCTTCGTGTTCTGATTTCTGCATGCGGGATTACCACTGGAAGAAAAATGCATCATATGCATGTTACTAATAGCGACATCTTTCTACAGTTTTCTGTACAACGTGTGCGTTAATCGTAAAACTGTTCTAGATGTCCAATGAACCGTAAAAAGTCAAGTACAGTACCAACGAATTCGCTGACCCTTAAACATTACATTTTACTTTTCTTGCCCAATATCGACCTGCTTGATCAGTTTTCACCCTATTTTTATTGTTTCTCGACAGAAGCTCAAGCTTACTACGTTGACAGAATATAGTTATCGTACAATTGTTCGAACCCATTCAGTAGATCTGTTCCTCTGTTCGCCAAAATGATGATCAATTGTTGATGTTCAGTCGTCTTACACACAACCAAATCGTTGACTTCGGAAAAGCATGAGTCTTTACACGAATCACGTCAGGAGAGTGTCGAACGTTTGTTACAAGGAGACCGGAGTGAGGAATGAGTGAATATTAATGGAACAAGCCGTTGCATTAAAAAAGTTGAAAGTTTTCAGGGATNAATCACAGGAAAATCACACACAATCACAACCGACTTCAACGAGATCTGAGAGAGTACTGATCTTGATTGATGTAAAATGGCGGCGTCAATTCTCCAGTAGAATGTTCTGGAATGTTCCTGTGGATTCCTGAAACTAATCGACATTTATTATTGCAGGTGTTTGCGGTACCCGCAATCGGAGGACGGTACGATAATGTACCGAATTATTCCGCCACAAACCTGGAGAAAGTCCGAATAACAATCAATTCAATCTCATGCAAATAAAATAGCTCTAAAAATTACTTCACTTACGCTTGTTGCGTTGAAATCGGTGCACAGTTTTTTTTTCGAATCCAGAAATAATGGCACATTGAAACGAAAAATTTGCTGTAACTTCGCAATTTTCAAAATCTTGAAAGAAATTAGCACCAACGTATGTTTTTATGAAAAATGAATTGTGAAACAATATTATTCCTGAAAATGTCATGCTTGAAATCTTGAGTTCAAAAATTCGCTGAATATACGAGCTTTGCAGTAGTATAAGTGTTACCGCGTATTCAAACAAAAATCCCAATTTTAAAGATAGATTCGACCTATTTTTTAAACTTCATTTATCCCCATGACGCAAAATAAGTTTTCTCAGAATGGTTAAAAGTTCAACTGCATGCTGGCCCTGTGCTGCTCCCATCGCTAAGAACAGTAATTAGAAATTCTCCAGCATATTTCAAAATAATTTGAAATATTGGAAAATAATCCTTTATTTTTTTTAGAAAAAATTTTAATTGGAGCAAGACATCAAATCTTGAGGAAATATATTGCGGACTATGCTCGAACAAGAGGATTGGCCAATAATGTTTAAGTACCACCTATACACTCCACGAAAGTCGTTACGTTTATGCTAGAAGACGTTCTTAACTCTGGGATCTTTGAAACTCAAGTTTTAGTAATTACCGAAATCTTTTCGAAAAATTAAGATTGAATTTGTTCTTATTTCTAAAGATAAGAACACGAAAATTTTCAGAAGTGGAAAAAATAGTAGCTATGCGAAATAAATCGACGACTCATGTTTTTTCACTTCATTATAAATTCAAATTTCTGAAATTACTCATAGAAAAACTCTGAATGCGACCATTTTGAATCTCAGTTTCAGCCAGTTGTAGAAAATGCCTCTCGAAATTTCATCAACAGCAAGTTGGTGAAATCTCGGTGTGATTGCCAAAAACATTCCTCGATAATGGTTTGTGCTTATATCTGGCGTGTTAATGTCGCCAAAAGTTTGTGCAACGCACGCTGGCCAGATTTTTCTTATATAAAAGCGCATGCACTGTTTTTACGTTCAAGCTTCTTCGCACTGCCTGATTTTACTCAATTAAAATAAAATCGAAGCTAAATCTTTAGATTCTTCGTTGATAGCAGTCAGATTAGTGCATCATGGCTTTAGCTGGAAAATCAGCCTCAATTTCATGCGGTTGAAAAGGCACACGGATGATCGTCGAAATTTTGATTACGCCAACTGAGGAGATGCAACCAAATGGGGGAAAGAATCGCCACTCGAATAATTAGCCCATTGATCCATAGATCGTAGGTTCCAGGCAGTTTCAATTCATATGTCAAAGAAAAAATTGTAAATGAGTTCCAAAGAAGATGTGCACAGTTATATTATACAAGTATTCGATCCATATAGTAAGGAGCTGAGCACGTAACGGGAACCTGTATCCCGTTCTCCGTCCAGCCAAATGCATTCCACGATATGCAAATATAGTGCCGTACTTAGAATTTCTTCCGAGACCTTGACCTTTCTAACGTCAGCTTCAGGGTCAGAACCCAATTATAAAATGAATCCTTGAAGCTGAATCATCGATCCACGAAATGGTATGCTGATTCAGACATGAGCGTCGCAGTTGTTGTCGGCGCAGAAATCGCAAGAAATACTGTAAATATTTGAGGAATAATTTTTGGAAAATGATTTTGTTGATTGAAATATTTTTAACTTGATCAAACATTCCTTTGAGCTTGATCACATCATGGACTTGTCCACCTTTAGCGAACCAGGAACAAGCCTTCTTATTCTCTGTTCATCGGGATATAAATGTTTTGGGTGTGAGAGTTGAACCACTTTCGTGCTCGAGACTCAATAAAGTACTTGTGCAATCTAGCTGTGACAATTATACTGTTCGCAATCCACGGAAGTGTTCAGGTTAAGCTATACTTGACTTCGTTTATAAATTCCGTTTTACCCGGCGACCACTCGGGGTTCCTTGCGGGATGATTTGGTCAGACGAGTGTACACAGGTGCGACTGGACTTTCCCATTTACGTGGTTCCTGAAAAGTGAAGACAAATAAAATAAAATAAGGAACCCAGACGTATGACACCGGTCGAGGTCACCAGGATTTTCCCGGGGCAGCTTTTTTAGCTCTCACATCCAAGAGCTGGTGCCAGTCAAACAGACGTTGCCTCGACTCCGCGAGAGGATTTGTGAAGAACTGACTAAGTGATTGCTCAATTTTTTAACCTTTGTGAAAACTAAGCAATGGAAAAAGTACATTATAGTGCCTCGGTTAACAGGCGCTTCGCACAGCAGATTTCCGCAGGGGAAGTCTCCAGATGCCTTTATTAATTGCTTCGTGTAACGAACTACATATATGACAAACGACTCGTATGTGTATTTAATAAAATGTACTTCGGAAAGCGTGGCTGACTGCAGGATTTTTTTTTTGGTTGTGTTGAATATTGTTCCACTTATTTCCGAGTGCCTATCCTGACTTTTTGATATGCTTATATCCGAGAAAAAAAAACATGGATGACTCTTCAAATAAAAATTATCAGCACGCCTCTGAGCCCCCTGAATTAAGCTTGACATCCGGGTCATTTAGGAAGTTTCGGAATATTCTTTTCATCAGCCAAACAATTGAAGTTTTCTAAATTAACTTGAATTATAATTTTTTTAGCGGAGGATGCAATGTGACGTGTTCATCGCGTTGCTCCACTTATTGATAAGACATCTTTAGGGAACAATCGAAAAATTGTTTTAAAATTTTTGAATTATTATCCCTTCTTTACAAGATGTAATCTATTATAGTCTTTCGATAATAATTCATCATTCCTTATTTAATGGCGTTTTTGGAGTCTGGCATGGATTGACTAATCCGTGTAGCTTTAAATATTTCAGAAATATATTTCTATTATAGACTGAATATTTCCTATGGAAATACAGTACTCTTAACCACAAGGTCTCTTTACTGAGCATGGTGTAAACTGTAAAGATGTTTTTTTTACTTATAATGCGTTTCAAGAAAAGAGGAGAATAAAAAACTGGGTTTTTCTTCACTCCAGTTTTGTGCTTGAAAGTGGGGAACGGACCTTGTTTGTATTTGATATTTGTCATGATGCCTGCAAAAAAATTTTTACTGGAAACTTTCAGATGTTTGACCATTTTCAGCTAAAATAACTAATTCAGATCCGACCCATTGCAGTTTTATAACGTTCTAGACACCAAGGTTTCTAGAGAGTCTGGAGGAATTCAAACGAATACCCTGAGAATGGTCCTTGCAGTAAAGGCTGAACCCCGATTTTTCCCAAAAATTTGACGT